TTGGAAAAAGCTAAAATGGTCAACAATAAAAGGCACTTATTGATGGTGAGCTCAATTAATTGCAGAAATCATCAATGATAGCATAGGGCAGATGCTTCGAGGAGACACCACGACTCAAAGCAAGCACTTGTTCTTAATGTGCACGAGTTCTGCTACTTTCTGCATTCCTTATCGGGTAGAAATAGGGATGAGCCTGCACCAAATTACAACAGTTAGCCACAGGACAATTTGAAGCCAAGATCAAATCATAAGAAAACACATCATAAAAGCCACAACTCAAAGCAAGCTGAATGAGTACCTGAAACGTAGTGGAATGCATGATAAATTGGAATCCAGGATAAACAAGAAAACTTAGACTTGGTTTTTCCTAATTACCAGCCAAAAGCACTATTGTTTTCTTAATCAACAAAAGTATTTTATTTTTTTAGCACACAACTATTCTCCATTGTCAGTTGCCTTAATGATGCCTCTGAAACAGTTTGCAGTAAAGCCAAACTATTCCCAATTCTCGAATGTATGAAGTGTTTCCAGTTGTACTTTACAATCCCAAAAAGATTTAAAGTCTCAAAGGGGGGAGTGATGGATGCCAGATCGAGATTTTACCATTGCTTCTTTCGCAGTAGGCCTCTCTTGATGATCATATCGCAACAGTTTGTCAACAAAATCTATTGCCTTCACAATATAAATGCACATTTAAAGTTCAAATCTTTAGCATAATTAATCAAATGGTTTGTAGATTACCAATAGCCATAATTCTCACCTCCGGAACAGCCAAATGCTGATTATCAGCATTAATAAACTTTGTCCACGGCTTTCTGCTATGCCTAGATTGACACCAGGCAACTTGTATATATAGTAGTCAAAAATAGATCATAGAGACAACAATTAAGATTTATATAATTATTAACCTTCCAACAAGAGCAGTAAGATGTGGGTCCAATTCCAACCGATACTTGTTAAGATAAGCATTCAACTCATCTGTCCCCAATACCTATTATCCATCAAAAAAGCAGTATATATTCAATGAGTCGGATATCAAGACTTTAGGCTCTTGTAATTTCAAGTGAGACTGACCAAATCAATAGTTATGTCCAAATAAGCACTAGCACCAGTTGCACGGACAAGCAAAAAACACAATTATGATAAAATCACAAACATCCAACTCTTTTTTAGTGCAAACATCAAAAAAAACTTGAAACATTATCCTGGTATAGCATCACAACAATGCACCAGATGCGCTAGTCATCTCCATGTCCAAGTGGAGAAGGATGAATATACTAGGAAGAGATCATATGATAGTGCACAAGTAACATTGTTTGAAGAATCGTAATTGTTTGGCCAGATGACCTACCTTGGCAATCTTGACCAGTTGATCATAATTGTCATGCCCGTAAAAGAAAGGCTCCTTACGAAAAATCTGCACAGCCGAAACCCTCAATATAAACATCAAATTGGGAGTACATCTTGGCATATCTTGGTTTAGTATTAAATTTTCAGTCTTTTCATCATTTGCCACTCATGGATGTCCAGGCAGATTAAAATCCACTCATCCAAAATGGTGAAGCTTGAAGAGCAGCTTCAGAGACGGGAGGCCTACCAAATGATATGCCCAGGTCCATTTGTACAACATACTAAACAAGTCTCGTAAAAAGTGAAATCATATTCTATAATACAAGTCAGAGAAAAAGCAGGGAAGGGATACCATTCCAGCAAACATACAACCGAGGCTCCACAAGTCCAAGGAGTAATCATAATCTTGCAAATCGACAAGAAGCTCAGGGCCCTTAAAATACCTGCAAACCAATGAGCATGAGCATGATTGGTCATTGGCAAATGCTTTAAAGAAGTAAATCCAATCTCAGAAGCCGATCTCTGTGAGCAATAGCCACTAAAAACTGGAAGGGAATATAAGGTGTTTGTGGCCCAAATTAACACGTGCTACTTGGCATCACAGGAAGATATATAACTTAATAAATGTAATCAAGCTGAATCAAATTTTCAAGAAAAATATTACCAATATTTACTATTTTTCCTATAATTACTCCCCTTCTTTTAGTCATTTATCAATAAGAAAGTATTTCATTTTTCAGGTAGATATATTCTTTCAGTTGCCAAAAACAAAATTTAACAATAATAAACACACAAAGCAAATGCCAAACTGACCAGATGCATTGGCGGGAACGGGGCTAGATAATTTTTAAGCAAGTAAAATTTGATAATTAAGTAGATATTTCAATAGCCTAGTCAAGAATTAACCGTTAAATAAAGTTTAGGGAAAAGAAAAGCCAAAGAAGCTAAACCAAACCTTTAATCATAAGAATCTATTTCGTGTGCTTGTTTGTTGCATTACTAACTAGTGCACTGTGCATTATTAAATATCTTTCTCAGTGTTTATCATACCAATTCAACAAGACTCAACAGCTTTATAAGCATGCTCCACAAGACTGCATCCAAACCTATGTGCTAACATAGAGACATTAGAGCCATTCTCTAAATGATGTAATCTCATGTCGACGGTACGAAGCAAAGTAATCATCATACAGCTTATATAAGTATGCATTCTGGAGCCATTCTTTACTCCCGATAATTAGATTTACTGAAGAGTGCAATTGCACCATAATAATGAAGATAATATTTTGGAACTGAACTACTGATTGCAAGCATTTTTGCCCATATTCAATGGAGCTGTCAGTCAATTTGTTCAATTAATCAAATGCAGCTTTGGAACCAAAATATCACCTAACAGCAGCCCCTGGACAGGTCTGAATTTTTGTGCCCGAGCCCTTTCACATCAATACATAATAAATCCTAATTCTTATTTGTATCCAATTCCACTCTGTATTTCATCTTAGGAGACTTTATTAAAGATACTCTAAAGCTGTCCTCTGCATTAGAAGTGTTACTTAGATGTCAAAATAACAAAAGAAACTTCTCAAAAGTTGCTAGTCTAAGTGAGCAAGAACTATCACGCATGTGTAACGGTGAACGGGCTATAGATTTTGCAAAATCACTATATCAAAACCCAGTGTCAATTTCATCCTAGGAAACTTAATGAGAAATCCTCAATGCTTTCTAAGATGGGAGTGTGAGTTAGATGTCAAGCTAAGTAGCTGACAAAAGACACCTTGTAAAACCAGTCTAAGCTACCATGTACAACACTTGACAGGATATAGATACTCCGATTCTCCTAGTTCACTACAAATGTTTATCTATAAAAGAAGTTGGGCAAGGAACTGTAAAAAAAATGAAAAAAAAAAAGGAAAAAGATCGCAAGGCCTATAGAAGAAAAACTAAATTGGAGGGAAGATAGCAAACCTAGAAGCAACACGAACGTTGTACTCTTTACCAGGATGGTAAAACTCCGCAAGTCCCCAATCTATAAGCCGAAGTTTCCGCTGCTCATGATCAATCATGACATTATGAGGTTTCACATCCCGATGCATGATACCTTGAGAATGGCAGTAATCTAGAGCCTACAACATAGACGTAGAGGAAACTCAGAATTGTTTTTGCACTTCCAAAGAATATCAAGTTTTAAAACTGTAAAGGGTCACAGTAAGAGAAAGAAAAGGTAAAGAGACCTATGAAACTTCTTACTTAACAAGTAAAGCAAATTTTCATTGTTAGCATAAATGACAGAAAACTCTAGCAGCAAGAAAACCACAATCAAGTATCTGAAAGATGGAGTGTATTGAAATTTAAATCCCAATTAGTTTAGGAATTTGTTGGTAATCAGTGCCGATGGCTGGCCAAATTCAGGCTCTTGAGCAACATCTCCAAAATGTGGATCACCAGCTGGCTTTTCATAGAGGAAGTAAACAGCTTTGAAAAACCCTTTTTGCACCCTAACCAAAAGACGTTATCCATTTCTCCTTTCAGGAAGAAACATTACCAGGATATCCAATATTGACCCTCTTTTTTGTAAACAGTCAACAACTGTATAATGTACATCTATCTTGTTATCATGTTAGTGTAACAGACTGAAGTAGGCATTTAAAGTTGATTCTACTCTTGACAAAATTTAGCAACAAATAAAAAAATGTCGTGTCAACCAGAATAAGGAATCACTGCCAGGTTGCTCTTCAGCAAAGCAGCCGAGCTCCTGTAATCCTCAGAACAATCATTATCTGAAGATACATGCTATACAGCCCGAAAATAAAAGAATTGAATTAGGAAAGCAAATAATAATAGAAGCCTGGAAAAAACGGATATTAGAAATTGAATTCTTTGTTTAACTAAAAGTAAACAGAGAAAATACACGTATTGGAGAAATTTGCAAAAATTCAAACAACATATGAGGCTCTCACTAGTTGTAAATTCCAGTTTCTAGAACTTATTACCAACTGCGAAAGTAGATAAAACAAGGGACTTGCCTTTAGAAGCTCATAGATGTAATATCTAATATCGAAGTCTGAAAGTGTAGGATAAAGCACTTTAAAATCTGTATTATTCACATATTCAAATATAAGACTTGGTGTCTTTGATTGCTGATCTCTAACAATATCCAGCAACTTCACAATATTTGGCCCGCCGCAAAGATTCTGTAATATTTTAATCTCCCTTTTAATCTGCACAAAATGGTGAAATAGAATGTAAGTTCTTCAATAATTTATTTCTAGATCTAGAGATTATATAAGCATATAAAACCTAACAAAATAAGTGAACAATAAAATTAAAATTTAATCAACAAATATTTGTGAATGATAAGCAATGCGCAGGTTTTGTAACACATGTACAAATTGTCTTGCAGTCAAATAACACACAAAAGTCCAATTCTAAGTACAACTAGAAGTTGTGCACAAAAAGTAGAAGCTACAAGACCTGTTGCATTTCCTTCACATATATTACACGGTAACCTCGAACATATAACAAACCTAAGGATAGGATCATTTGAAGACGAACAATCTAGTGTTGTCTCAATAACAACAATACACTAAGCCTTATTCCTAATAAATATGGGATCAGCTATATAAATCTTTCTTCTTCATGCATATTGTCCCAACTTCATTTTCGTCAACATCACTATCCTTTTCTTCATTATTAAAGTAACACTCTCCGACTCTGGTTCATCTAATGATAAATTAGAAATCTCAAGCAGCCTAACACCTTTAAGGGTATCAAATGAGTCTCGACAATGTCCCACATTTTATATTCTCCTTTTAAATAAAGATTTAATTTTCTTGATAAAAGATGCTGATTGCTATAAATGAAAACTAATTATTCAACTCATTGTAGAGTTATTTTATTCCTTCTCATAGAGTGCAATAAAAGAGCAAGTGCTCCTTATTAATTAATTAATATTATTTATTTTTAATAAGTTATTGATAATAAAAATAGTATTAAGTGAAAAATTGTCATCTATTGCCAATAATAATATACTTAATTTTAAAAGAGTTTAAAACCAATAAAACTTTTCTTCTTCACATGTTCTAATGTGTACGATATGTATCGAAAATTTAAAAAAAACAAAAAATATAAAATAATAAAAAAATACATATCCTATACGTATCGGAGTGTCCAAACATATTAAAGCTTGAATATGTATTGGATACAAGTACAAAATAATCCCCCATTTGATGGTTATTATTGCGTAAAAATGATTTTTTGAATAATGACTTTTTGAAGAATGTGTGGTTAAAAACTAGAGAAAAATTTTGAACTTATGTGCAAAATATTTTATTGTACAAATGTATGGCCAAAAATGAGTATAAGAATTAAAGAATTTTGAAATAACGATTGTCAAACAAGGCTAAATTTACAAGTATTCATGCTTCTTAGCTCGAGTACAAGCCTGTGCAATGTGTAGGTGAACATTATTTAACCAAAGTTTTGACTTCTAAAATAATTTTAATATTGTTAAAATGATGTTAGGGTTTAAGTGTTCATCTCTCCTTCAACCTCGCTTCTTCTCCTCCATGCAAGTACCTCTCCCTTTGAGGCATCAACCCACGCCACATCTTCATTCATTGTCATTTTTCGAATAGTTAATCCTTCTTTACTTTTCCCAACTTTAGGATTTCTTTGTTATGGATATTGTGGTAAAATGAGAATAATCTTTTTGTATATAATTTAGTCAGAAAACAGAGGCCTTTATAGGCTAGATACAAACCTAGGTCAACTAGATAAAAAGGAAACAAATAAAATATTCCCAAAGAATCAGAAATCAGACTACTATTCCCACAAAATCAGAAATTAGAATCCCTAGGATTTACTTTACAACTAAATAAGAAACTATATACATTATTTTCCACACTCCCCCTCAAGCTGGTCAATAGGCATTTTCCATTCCTAACTTGGAAATGAGTGTCTGAAACATTGTACTGTTCAGTCCCCTTGTAAACACGTCAGCTAATTGACCTGCAGTGGACACATAGGGTGTGCAAATCAAGCCATTGTCCAACTTTTCTTTGATGAAGTGCCTGTCTATCTCGATGTGGGATTGTGTGTGTTACAAAAGTAAACATGTATTACCCTATTGTATAGAATCTTATCTATAGGGACTTGTCATGTAAATACTATTAGTCTTGTGTATATATGTAATCCCTAGAGTGACTTATGAAAGAAGAAATAAACCTCTCTCTCTCTTTTGAATATCGATTACATGGTATCAGAGCTAGAAACGAGTTGCCAGCGCTAGGGTTCCGTCGAGCTGCAGTCGCGGTCGTCGGCACTAGGGTTTTGTCGAGCTGCAGTCGCCGTCGCTCTCTGCCGTCGGGTGGGTCCACTTTTCTTCCTCTCTCGCTCTCTGGCCAACGAGTGGGTCTCCACTCTTCTGTGTTTCAACAGCTGCAGGTGCAGCGCCGCCACCTGCACCGGCCATTCTGCTCGCCTCCCGCCGTTCAACCTTCGGCCGGAGTGTTTAATCGCCGGAATTTCGGAGTTGGTTTGTTGTTCCGTTTCCACAGCCCGTTTGCTGTTCCGTTTCTGCCCAGCTTCCTGCTTGGTTGCACTTCAGTTTGGAGAGGGAAGGAGATTGTCTGTTGGGCTGTTGGGTTGGGCTGTTAGGTTGTTCTTCTGTTTTTCTCCAGCCACAGCAGGTTCGGGTTCTCTGAAGTATCTTAACTTTATTGTGATCTTTTGTTTTGGGATTTGCTTGATATTTGGGAATATGGAGGAAAAGACCTCGGTTGTTGTGTCTGACGTGATTCCTATAATGTCAAAAATCACGGAACATAAACTTAATAGATCTAATTTTTTAGATTGGAGTAAAACTGTTAGATTGTATTGTTAGATTGTATTTGCGGAGTATTACTATGGATAATCACTTAACTGATGACCAACCTAGTGATAGTTCGAAAGCCTCATGGCTAATAGAGGATACTCGTCTGTTTTTTTCAAATACGTAATTCTATTGATAGTGAGGTGGTTGGTTTGATAAATCATTGTGAATTCGTGAAAGAATTGATGGATTATTTGGAGTTTGTGTACTCCGGTAAGGGAAATATTAAACACACTTATGAGGTGTGTCAAGCCTTTTATCGTGCAGAAAAAGGAGACAGATCTCTTACTGATTATTTTATGGATTTCAAGAAGACTCATGAGGAGTTGAATATGCTACTTCCATTCAGTGCTGATGTGAAAGTTCAAAAAGCTCAGAGAGAAAAGATGGCAGTTATGAGGTTCTTAGCTGGTCTTCCATCTGAATTTGAGACTGCCAAATCTCAAATTCTTTCTAGCTCTGAGATATCCTCTTTGGAAGAAGCTTTCAGTAGGGTACTCCGCACTGAATATTCAACTGTTCCTCAACCTAATAGTGCTTTTGTCAGTCGCACCTTTGAATCTGGGAGACAGTCATTTAGAGGTGGCAATAAAGGGGAAAACTCAAGTAACTATGATCGAAACCTTAGTATTCACAACTCAAGTAACTATGATCGAAACCTTAATATTCGAGGACAGGATTCGGGTGGTGTTGTGTGTCACTACTGTCATAAGCCAGGACATGTGAGGAGAGATTGTAGAAAGTTGCAGCGCAAGAATCAGTCAAACCAGTCAGCCCATGTTGCCTCTACTAATGATGCGTCTGAGTCTATTCTCATATCTGCTGATGAGTATGCCAAGTTCTCACAATATCAGGAATCTCTAAAGCCTTCATCTACCCCTATCACTGCCATTGCTGATTCAGGTAAAATGAACACATGCCTCGTCTCATTATCTTCCAAATGGGTCATTGATTCTGGTGCTACAGATCACATGACAGGTAATTCTAGTCTATTCTCTTCTTTCCAATCACATGCTCCTAGTTCTACAGTTACCTTAGCAGATGGGTCTACATCTCATGTTCTGGGGTCCGGCACAATTATTCCAACACCCTCAATTTCTTTACAATTTGTCTTAAGTTTACCAAACTTTTCTTTTAATTTAGTCTCTGTCAGTAAGCTCACTCGTTCTCTTAATTGATGTCTTATTCTATCATAATATTTGTCTGTTTTAGGATCTTAAGACGAAGAAGATTATTAGTAAAGAACATGAATCTGGATGCCTCTACATTCTTG